ATTGTATCAATTATTTTCTTAACTTTTTTCCACTGAATTCTTATTTTCAACATTCTTTTAAGTAGTACATCTCATCCTTGATGATAATTTATTTCAAAATATTTTGTTTTCATATTTTGAAATGAGAGATAAATGGTGTTTTTTCTTGCAATTTGTATTTATTAATTTTTTGAAAAAAATATGGAAAATAAGTTATTTTTACCATTTTAAAGCACTTTTGAATATGAAACTATTATCGAATACTAAATGAGTTAACAAATGAAAAATGACATTAAAAACTGTTAGGGACAAAAAGTATTATAATAAATAAATATTATGAAAAGTGCAATTGAAATGTAATGCACGAAATAAACTTGTGGTGGGAATATAATTACCCTATAATAGTTTATTAACTTTAAAGTAGGGTATTTCTATCCTTTTAACTTTAAAGATGCCATTTTGCAAATTGGGCTTCAGCTAGTCTGTAGAAGCCCGAGAAATATAATGAAATTAAGTTATTATTTTGTGATGATCTAGCACCACAAGCCTAACCCATTTAAGAAACGAGCTATGGAAGCTCAATCCATTTAAGGATATGAAAGTCAAAGCTATAAGTTAATTAAAAGCCTAACAATTTAAGATATTAAATTTTAGTAAATTTGACTACAAAGATTTACTGAATAGCTGGGTTGCCTCAATAGTCATTTACATGATATTTCATATAAATAACTCAGTTTTGAATCACCATGTAAATGTTTTTATAAAACTTTTTATATGAATTTTTTTATGGCTTAGAAACTCTTCAAATTCTTAGTTAAATACCAAATTTAACAAATTTAATGATAATACAGCTCCCTCATTTAGTTTTTCATTAAAAAGGAAGGTTACAATAAGAGAAATGTTACTTTTTCACTACAACTCTGCTCAAATCCGAATTTACTCTTATTTTCTCTAAAAAAATATATTTCATATCAAGTTAAGTTTAAGGGAATAACAAGGGTGAGAAAAAGAAAGATTTTCTATACATTTTGTTCTTTTATATCCACGAAAATTCAAGATAGGTAGAGGTGCAAATGTTTATTTCGTTTTCAAATTACGATTTTTTGATAAATGTTTGAATAAAATGGTATCTATGAGTACGGTGCTTTGGCACTACAACAATTTGAATGATCATTCTCCGACTCTACGTGTTATGATAATTCTATAGTAATTGAATTTTGCCAAAAATCCATCTATGTGTGACAATATGAATCTATAGTTTGAAATTTCTAATTTGATAATGAAGTGCACCAATAATATTTATTGAGTTTCAAACTCATGGGTTAATTCCCTTCTTATAGGATGAATGGATTTCTTTGGGGTTTAGATGATGGTAGAGGATGATACAACATGCTATGAAGGAAGCTGATGATTTAATAATTTTAATTCGATCATGAAATGTTTATGTTTTTTTTTATATAGATTTCTATGGACGTCATATGTGGAACTATTTTAAGAATATTTCTTCATGAATAAGTCGTGGTTAAAAGTAGATATGTGTTATGAAAGTTAATTTACAAAACATCGTTGCTATTCGCATAAATCATGCATAGCTCCCCATTTTCTCTATGTTCATAAAAATAGCGTATGTGATGCTCTTTTTCTTCTGTTATAGCTATTTGTGAACAACGAAGTTGTATTTGTGTTTTGTGATGATTGAACTTGGGTATTGTACTTTGTATTTTTAGAGGAATCCATTTTATGAGTTCCTAAAAAGAGCATACGCATATGCTCTTTTTTTTAGCCCCCGTTTGACCCCTATTTTTGGTAATGAAAATGGGAGGGATAGTGTTTTGTTGAAAAAATGAGTAGTTGAAAAAAAAGGAAAAAATTTCGATTTACTTGTAATATTATTTTGTGGAAGATTGTGTGGTTGAAAATATGAGAGAAAAAAATAGAATGTTATGGAAAGTAATTTAATGGGGACCAAACAGGGGCTTAGTGTTAAGACTATTTCTGAACAATGTAGTTTCTATATTATTATCATTTTTTCCATTTCTTAGCAATTAGATAATAGAGCCATTTTCATGTTATTTTCTTTCAAAATTGTAGTAGATTAGTGTAGCAATTGTTCAATGTGGAAAAAGGGTAATCGCATGATGTACTTTGGTCACGGATGGCTATGATACCTCCTCTATTAAGCATTTTTACATGAAAATAGGAAGATATTGTCACTTTTTAAAATTTTGTCAACTTTTTGGAATATTTGTCACTTGTCTCTATAGATAAAGTATGACCAAGAGTTTTAGACGGATGGTTGAAACAACTGTGATTGAGGCTCTTGAAATTTGGGAATCCATGCAATCAAAAGCCTCAACTATGTCTTCTCCATTGCAAAAACTTGCTTAAAATAATAGAAATTATCATTTTTCCATTTCCGAGCAATTAGATAATAGAGCCATTTTCATGTTATTTTCTTTCAAAATTGTAGTAGATTAGTGTAGCAATTGTTCAATGTGGAAAAAGGGTAATCGCATGATGTACTTTGGTCACGGATGGCTATGATACCTCCTCTATTAAGCATTTTTACATGAAAATAGGAAGATATTGTCACTTTTTAAAATTTTGTCAACTTTTTGGAATATTTGTCATTTGTCTCTATAGATAAAGTATGACCAAGAGTTTTAGACGGATGGTTGAAACAACTGTGATTGAGGCTCTTGAAATTTTGGAATCCATGCAATCAAAAGCCTCAACTATGTCTTCTCCATTGCAAAAACTTGCTTAAAATAATAGAAATGAGAAATACTTCAAACTCTTAACTAATATGAGAAATAGTTGATGCCTTCTTGACGTGTCAACACACAAAGACCTGATTGAAGGAGTGTGTTTGTTTGGAAGATTGAGGAAGCCTATGGAGTTTTGATTGAGATGAGAAAGTCAAGTTACCCTTCCAATGTTACATACAACCGTTTCCTAAAGGTTCATATATGATGTGAATTCAATGCCAACTACACAAACTTATAATATGATGATTGTAATTGTAACACCTAGAATCCAAATAACCTAGATTTATAAGTGCTATAATTTAATAATCTTAGACTAGTAATGTGAAAAAAATGATATAAATAGTTGCCACTCAAAAACCTTTTTTGTTTTTTTTTTTTAATATTTATCACTTTTTGAATTTTTGTCACTTCATTGAATAGCTTCCAAATTCAAGTTAATATGTTAGGTAATAGAAGTGAAACATAATCACAAAGAGACAACATACAAAAAGAAAATCAAGGATCCCTTAGATCTCTTTTAAGGTTTGATTGACGTTAAATATTATTTGTCACTTTTTTAGTTTTCGTTATTTTTTTAATTTCTATCATTTCATTGAACTGATTTTAAGGTTTTGATTAGTGTTTTGTTATTTTTTGAGTGTTTCTCATTTTTTTTTTTGAGTATTTGTCACTATTTTATTGTTACTTCATTTTTTGAATTCCTATAATTTTTTTAATGTTCGTCACTTTTTAAATTTTTTGTCACTTTTTGAACCCCCCTTTTGGTCCCCATTATTTAGTATTATAATTTTGGAATAATACTTTTTGGAAGAATCTGTGATTGAAAAAGAAGAAATTTTTTCGATTTACATGTAATTTTTTTAATAAAAGATTGTACGGTTGATAACAAGAGAGAAAAATTATAATGTGAAATAATGAATCCAAACGATGGCCGAGTGTTTGTTACTTTTTTAGTGTTGTCTTTCATTTTCTTTTTTTAGAATTTTTATCACTTTTTTTTTGTAGGGTTTGTTAACTTTTTTGTTACTTATTCGAAATTTTTGTAACTTTTTTTTTTTTTTTGTTAATGTTTGGTAATTGACTTAAAGATGTTTTGCGGTGATGAAGAAAAAGGAGGGATGTATCATTTTTTTCTCATTTTATTGAACTGATTCCAATATTTTAGTTGATATTTTATCACTTTCTGAGTGTTTATCATTTTTTTTGAATTTTTGTCATTTTTTAGTATTTGTCACTGTTTTGAATCACTTCTTATTTTTATTTTTTTACTTCATTTAGTATTTGTCATTTTCCTGTCACTTTCTTGAAAATTTTGTTACTTTTTTGAGTGACGAACATCGCTTTTTAGTGAAAGTGTAACAAAAAAGTGACATTTAACTTAAAAAAGTGTTGTTGTGTTACTTTTTAATAAGAAAAATAACATTTTATTTTACACACTACTTTTTATCCTTATGTATCACTTTCTTAATATTTTCGTTACTTGTTTGGGTGGCAAAATCATTTTTTCATAACTTTTTATTAAAAAGTGACACTTAGGCCATATTTGATTGTGTGTTTTCTTCCATGGAAAATGGATCTTACTTTTTCCTTGTTTGATACCCTCAAATTTCTTGGCAAAGTGAATTCTTGGCAATCCACTCACACGCCTCTTTTCCAGGATTTTGTGGAATTGGAGGATTCCAATTCTCGGTACTGTAGCGTATTTTTTTAAATTTTTGCAAGGGAAACAAATTCTAAGAATTATTTTAAAAAAATATTTTCCTTTAATTGAAAATTTCCATGTAAAACAAAGCTAAATGAACACTAAAACATAGATAATTTTCTCAAATTTTTTTTGACAATGGAAACAAATTTCATCCACAATACCAATAAAATCTATCACTTTAATGATAATTTTCATATAAAAAAGTCAAACGAATACCAAAAAATATTTTTATTTCAACAAATTTCACTTGAAAAATTATATTAATCAAACACAATAATTTACAATTTTCAAGAAAACAATTTCTAGGTAATTTAATTTTCTGAAATTTATTTTCTTTCCACCCAAATTTCATTTTCGCAATCAAATGGATCCTTAATTTAACAATGTTTTTTTACTTTCAAATATTTTTCAAATACTTTTAATTTTATGATTATTTTAATAAGTTGGTGTCTTCTCTTTTACATTTTTTTTTGGAAACTTTAAAGATGCAATTCTGCAAATTGGGCTTCAGCTAGCCCAATGTGCAACCCCTATATAATATGCATTTTGACGCATAATTCTCATTCTGCGTGTCTTCTCCGCCATGGCTTCTGCAAGCGTAAGAAATGCTCTGGGTGACCTCAACAAAGATTCCTTCATAAACCTTTTGTCGAAGCTGATCGGAGAGTCCAAATACGTTCAAAATAATCCACCGGAGCTGATTCCGGAGGAGGACAGGATTGTGAGGCACGTGCTGGACGCGCTCCTTCCCTACAGCACCATCACAGGCGGTGGCCCACTTATCATTAACCATGTTACCTACAAACCCAATAGAGGGAATCTCATTGTAGAGTACCCTGGATCTCAGCCGGGAAAAATCTTGTCATTTGTTGGCATGCATATGGATGTTGTAACTGCCAACCCTTCCGATTGGGTCTGTTATATTCTATTCCTTGTACTTAATATTTTCTATATTCAGCTACTAAGTGCGCATTTTCAATGGCCACTGGTGAAATTAACCCTGAGGGAAATGAACTGTAATTGATCATGTAGCTCAACTATAGAATGCTTATCTTGAAAAGTTATAAGGAATTAGGTTTACTTCCTTGTTTATGAACTCTGTGTTTTTGTGTATGATGCGGGATTGTTTTGTTTCTATCGTTTTATGTTTTTGTTACTAATTTTAGGTTTCAGGTGAATTGGTTGTTTAGTTTGTCGTTATTAATATGTTTTGGTCCTCTCTGATTTCTCTTGAGTTTTGGGGTTGATTTTATAGGTGCAATTTAGTACGAACAGCTTGCTTAAGTGTTCAATAAGTTCTGGAGTTCTTTTGTTGGCAGTCACTGGTTTTTTACCATCGTCTTATTTGAATTTATTTTTCTTTTGGCTTTATGTTACTTATAGCGAAGCTAAATTCAGTATTTTTCAAAATAATTGAGCATTCATGTCCTTTTTTAAAAATAGATTTTCAAATGATGTCAGATTTTCCTTTAATATGAGAATAGAAATATTAGATAAAAGTACTGCAAATCAAGTGGAATAAGCAATAATAATGTGGAATCCTCAATGCTATGGATGTCAATAAATAGGCAGATCTTTCCTCTGATGTTTTATTACGAACTTTATGCATCATCAGATGTATTTTCATGCAGGATTTTGATCCTTTCACGATGAGCATGGATGGAGACAAACTTCGAGGTCGTGGAACCACAGATTGTTTAGGGCATGTTGCCCTCGTTGCTGAACTAATGAGGAAGTTAGGGGAGACAAAGCCACAACTGAAGTCTACCGTGGTTGCTGTCTTTATTGCCTGTGAAGAGAACTCATCTATCCCTGGAGTTGGCATTGATGCATTAGTGAAGGATGGATTGCTTGATAAGTTAAAGCATGGCCCTCTGTAGGTTACTTATACCTTTGGCGGACTAGATGTTATTGGGCCCCCGTTTGACCCCCATTTTGTGGCAATGAGAATGGGTCAAATAGTGTTTTTTTTTAAAAATGAGTGGTTGGAAAAGAATGAAAAGTTTTCGATTTACGTGTAATATTATTTTATGGAAGATTGTGTGGTTGAAAATAGGAGAGAGAAAAATGAAATGTAATGGAATGAAAATTAATGGGGGCCAAATGGGGGCTGAATGTCTTTAGTAAGTGATTTGAACAATAATCATGATATAATTAACGGGCTTCTCATCCTGCAGATTTTGGATTGACACAGCAGATAAACAACCATGCATTGGTACCGGTGGTATGATACCATGGAAACTTCATGTTTCTGGAAAGCTTTTCCACAGCGGTCTACCCCACAAGGTACTTCTTGAAATAGTGCTTTCTCAGGGATATTTATCTACCTTTTGGTACTGATTCTGTTTCTTCCATTGGTTTCTTGATATTGAGCTGAACAACTAGAACATAGCATATTATTGGGATTGTTTCTACATATGATTTTTATATAAAAACTGAGATGAGAAAATTTTCCGTGTGAGTAAAATATTTTGTCTGGATATCAAAATTTCTACTTGTATCCTGAATCAAAATAAAATCTAGAACTTAGTTGTGTGAACTGCCAATTGATCTAGTTCTTTCTCATTAAAAGGTAAACCAAGCTCCATCTCGTCTTTTATTGCCTAAAGATGTTGACGTCCCAAGGGATTTTTTTATGAAGAACCAGGAGTGGCAGCTAGAGGAGATCGAAGGGGTGAAGAGAAGTAGCTCTTCCTCCACCGAACACCAAAGTTAAGAGTAAAAGGCAATATGATCTATGATTATCTATTGATTGCCTTCCGTGTTTTAGAGCTTAATCATCTTCTATGGTAGTCTAGATTTCATATAAAGTGGAAAGAGGTTTTGAAGAGAAAAACAAGAGAAGGGGAAAAAGGTGATTCAAAATAACATATGATTGATACCTCTGCTCTTCCTACATAATAAGATAAAGTCTCTGCAACCAAGAAACTTGAGGCCCTAGTTTTATTGTTAAGTTGACTGCTAGTAGCTATACATTGCTATAGTTTCAAGAATGATCCCCCATCTTCTTTAGTGAATTCTTGCATCACCTTTAAGAATTTCTTGTGATTCCCCATGAATGGCCCCATCTTCTTCTCCAATTCTTTGTTCCAATCTGTTGTCATTGCCCTAGAATTGATGCCTCAGTATCAGTTGATAGGTACTAGATGTGTAATATAATTTTTTGTATATATTGAACGAAGAACAAATATAAATGGAAAGGAAATACACAAGATTGTGAGGAATCGAGAGGCTCACTCTCTCCCCCAATTGATACCCTAAATTCCACATAACTTACATAATTCCCTTTTCCCCCTTCTATATTTGGCAGTTATGTTCTTATTCTCCAAATTTCCTAGACTATCCTTCCCAGTAATAGCAGATGATTATCAAAATCTCACTTGAAAAAGCAAATAGTCGGCCTAAATTTTGAGTTCTCAAGAATTACCAATTTCCATCCCAATTCCCTCTAAATGAATTGACCTTGTCAATTTTCCTTGCATATGGTTCGCAAACAAGTTGTAGGGATTAGTCCTTGCAGTAGAAATAATAACCTTCCTATATTGTGTCCGAAGAAAAGAAACTAGTTGAGTTATCTAAATAACAGAAAACCTGGGATTTTACATAAAATTCAAATAACTCAATTTCCTTTCAAAGTGGGTGGTTTTTATTTTCTGCATTCACCGTTCTTGAGATTTCAAGTGTTCGCTAGTGGATTATGATTCTACCAAGCCGTTGGTTGCTTCAACTTGAAGTCCTGGAGATAGGGGAACAGTGTGGGAGAGGAGAGGGCTGCCCAATTCTATGGCCCATTGAGAATAGTTTAAACAAGTGTTGGTTTTTTGGAAAAGAAAAATGAACTTTTAGCTCTACAAAGGGAGGAGACGTTCTTTAGCAGATTTTTGGAAACTGAAGACATTTGTTTTATGCTGAACTATATCATATCAAGTTGTGGTTGTTGGTTAACATATGTTATTTGTTCCTTAACATGAAGCTAATAACTAAATAATTGTTGCCTCATGGAACAATGGTGATATTTTGATTCTAAATTAAAATAATGCTGGATTTTTCTCAGCTGGTTAGAAAAAATATGAGACAGTTGTCCTAATTAAATTAAATATACTCTGTTGAACTTATTTTATTGACAATTTTTTTGTATATGAATTGTTGTAGTTTTTAGCTAATTTTCCTTTTTCAATGTGGGTAGGCCATCAATCCCTTGGAGCTAGCTATGGAAGCTCTTAAAGAGATCCAATTACGGTTCTACAGAGACTTCCCTCCCCATTTGGAGGAAAAAGTTTATGGGTTTGCAACCCCGTCGACCATGAAACCCACACAGTGGAGTTGTAAGTTCTTGATCTTAAAGTGAAAAATTGTTTAATAATGATTAGTTTGCTTCCAGGCACATTGTTCATTTCCAAAACTGATATTCATAACAGATCCTGGGGGTGGAATCAATCAAATTCCAGCTGAATGTACAGTTTCAGGGGATATTAGGTTGAATTTCAACATAGACTGTCATTTAAGTACCTGCGTTACGATTGATTTCTAACTTGCGCTCTTTACTGCAGGTTGACTCCATTTTACAGGTACGGATTTCACTCTGTTCTTGGTTATGTCTCCATAAGTTTTGCTTTTAGTCAGGCATAATGTTATCTTGGTTACTCATGTTACATTATTTTTCCGTTTTCTAAGGACTTTTTCTGTACTTCATATTTCTAATCTGCTATAAGTTTTAGTCAGTTCTTGCGAGCCAAGAAATCAAGGTCCGAAACCTAATAAATATATCACTCCAGTGTAACAGATGTGGAGACTAAACTTCAAAACTATGTTGATGACATGAATGCCAACATAGAAAACCTTGATACACGAGGCCCTGTTTCAAAGTATGTCCTACCAGACGAAAACCTGAGGGGAAGGTGCATCTTTATCTTCATCTAACTGCATTCTAATGACTCAGCTTACTGAATGTCCTTCATTCTTGGAAATCTGAGGACATTGTGATGTAGTCCAACTTTTATATACCACAGCTCAATTTTTTTTATTTTTTTATTTTTTTATTTTTTATTGATTCTGCTTATGTGCTCAGAATTACTATTAGTTTTGGCGAGGCATTGTCTGGAGTTGCTTGTAATCTTGATTCTTGTGGATTCCATGTATTATGCAAAGCTACTGAAGAGGTGGTTGGGCATGTAAAACCCTATTCTATCACTGGCAGCTTGCCACTCATACGGGAACTGCAGGTGGAGCTCTTCCCTTGGATGAATTTGTCTGGATTTTTGGAAATAGAAATTTTCATACATATGTTACCCTTTTGTTTTGTGGTAGGATGAAGGTTTTGATGTTCAAACTTCTGGCTATGGTATGGTTCACTTGTTACTTGATCTTTCCTGTTTCTAATACTACTAATAAAACTTACCCTATTTCACCTCAAGGAAATCCATTTTCCTTCATCTGTCAAATGGAAAGTTTTGCTTGTACGAGGTACTTGAAAGTGCAAACTTGCTTAATTAAGTATACTGTGATATTTATATAACTACCTTAAAATTAAATCTAGCATTGTCTTGACTGCAATTCTCTAAAATTCAGGGGATAGCAACACCTATTAATGCCTTGCCATGTGATTTTGAAAAAAATTTAAAGGAGCTAAATGACGAGTTATAGAAGGATGTATGCCATAAATTAGAACAGTTGGTAAAAATAATTTAGATTTTTTTGCCATTATTAGTATTCACTCAAAAACCATGGCTTACAATATTTTATTTTATTTTATTTTATTTTTTGTGAATGAATTGAGTAAAACTTTCCTGAAAAAGGAAAAAATATCTTTACGCTTCTTCAGTCTTGTAGAATAGATGGTGTTGATATAAGAGTAATTCTTTTATTTCATGATTTGTGCATGCAAATATGTTAGATATTCAAATATGTGGATAAGAATAGAAGTATTAGAAACCAAGGACTGGCCTTCTGACTTAGGGATCAACTCACTTGGTAATGCTTGTAGGCTCAAGTTTAATGAGAAGGGTTATAGGGAAGGAGGAGTTGCCCTTGTTCTGCATCCCACTGGATCTAGAAAATATGAACTCGGTAACAGTTGTAGGTTTTAGTCTCAAGAAGAGGTATAGAGAAGGAGAGAGTTGGCCTGTTCTACAGCCCACTTAACTGAAGAAAATGTCGATTTCTAAATATCTATAAATGGTAACTAGACGACGTATTTGGAATCAATAATGATATGCACGAGAAAAAATTATGCTTGAGGAGCTAAACTAGTGCGATGGCAACTCTCAGGAGAATAACATGTTTATTCTTGTGAAAATATGGACCATGAGGTCCTACATGTTCTTTCCTTAATGGATCTTCTACCAAAGAACAAAGAGTTGGAATTCTAGTTATTCTTACTTTGGATAGCATTTTTCCTATCAATTGGTACTGTTTTTGGTCTTTATTCTGGTCGTAGGGATCATACTTAACCATGTGATTGTTTCCAACCCTCAGAGATATAGGGGCTTACACATAATTATACGTAAAACATTTTACAAGTCATGGAAATGTTCGACTTATGGATTATGAATTATAGCTTGCAACTTGTGGACATAAAATGTTTATTTACATTACGGAATGCACAAGTAACTCACATTTTTTATTTTATCAGGGAATGTCTTTCGTCATAAAAATATCTTAGCCTTAAGGCATAATTACTAACAATGAGTAAGCAGGTAATGGGTCTTGTAATATCTTCAACCCCCATGGTGATCTTCCATTCTTTTGTTTCTTTTGAGAGATTATTTTTAAGGTATTTGTGGATCACTAACTAAAATCTCTGTTTGGGTGAAAATTTAATGGGATTTTTCCAGTACTGAGAGAGCAAAGCTCGCTACGAACTACTATTGTCCACTTGTCAAGGATTTTTTTAGGGCTGGAGCAGTGCTTCTCATTTATTTAACGGAGCGTCTTTGGGCCAATCATTATCAACGGTGGTAGTGGTTTGTAGATGTGATTGTTAGGAAGGATGAGGTTGGAAGGAAGAAAAGAGAGAAGATTCCCCTCTTTCATTTCTTTGTTTTTTACTTTTTCTAAAGCAAAATCAATATCTGTGAGCAATTCATGAAATGAATATCTTCTTCCTAATTTAGCTATCAATCTGATTCCCATTCGAAAGAGCTAATATTGACATCACTATTATTTTAGGAATTTCAGATGGATGACAACTATACAGAGGGTTATGTTTTTTAAGTTTAAAGATTGCGTGTCTTCTCAAATTAGAGTGGGAACATTGTTCTTTTGAAAGACTTCCCTGCAGAAAGGCAAAATTGTAGTTTGTGATCTTGATTTTTCTTCGAAATTTATGCTTTACGTGTACTTGTCCTGGTTTGAACTTGCAAGGAGTGTTAGATGACAGCTGAAGAGTTAGGTAATTGATGTAGTGGGGAAGGATCTTATCTTGCACCTTTATTCGAGAGTATCTTTGTTAAATGAATAACCGTATACTTTGTAGCCACATTCAGTTTTATGCCAAAACTAATAGTGTGGACGTATACTTGTTGAACTTGTATGCTTCAAATTTTAAGCAGCAACAGTTACGAAAGTGCTGTGGTTTTTAGAGAATGTGAGCTGATGATGTTCGTAAAACATTGTCGGTTCAAAATATTCTTGTTATACTGTTACACCGCATGATTTGTCACCTAAAGTTAAGAATTGCATGTTCAAATACACCTTCACACGTATAAGTTTGAATGCATGTGGATAAAAATGCAGGGTTAATGGCGACATACCACGCTAAGAATGAGTATTGCCTTCTATCTGATATGTGCCAAGGCTATGGGGTTTTTGCCAGTATCATTTCGCAGTTGGAAGATTGAATTGGACTGATGCATTTCCTACCCACTTTCGTTTCCCGTTGTCCACGAATATGATATCTATCTATCTAGTGTGATGCATGGAATATATGACAAGGGTGGAGTATTTCTAAATCTCTGACTTGGATTGAAGCTTCTAAGCTAAAAATAGAGTCCCTGCTTTTGTTAGAGGCTTTGAAATTTACTCCAAGCCCATGGATTTGGTCTGTTTTCATTTACTTCTCTATTTGCTGTCTTTCTATATGATAGATAAACTGTTTATGGCATTTTGTCCCTTTTATTAAACTCGTTATCTAAATTTGTGTTGCACTTTGTTTTCTACGATAAAGTATTTTATATTTTACATGTGTAAGAATGTGGTCATAAAAAGATATACTATGTTTAAATACTGATTAGCTAATATAAGAACAGCAAATAATTGTCAATTGTCGATTGTAATATAGCAATATAGATAAAGGATTACATCTCAACATTATCGATAATGCTTCATTATATATCATGGTTGCATCTCAACACTAATTCAGAATTTATCGTTTAAACTGGTAATTGAAGTGCCTTTAAAAGGATAAAATTTACTTCTTGGCGGCAATATATATACTGGAAATCTTTTAGAGATGCATTGTATAGCAGCTTTACGTAAAACTTTGATATTATATGCTTGATGGTTCAACAGACGACAAGTGTCCGTTTACAATTTCATTTTTGAGTAGCCAAAGAATTTATGAGACTGAGGTTGATGTTCATGGATTACTAGATATCGCAATGAATAAACAGGTGAATCCTTTTAATGGAGCAAGATCGGAAAAAGGAGGAAAAAAATAACCATAAAGTAATTTAAGAGAAGAGGGGGCTAAATTTCTAGTACCTTTCCTAATTTACCTCTTCATCGAAATCAAAATTAGTTTTAAAACTTCAATTCACACTTATTTAATTTGCAGTGCAACTTTTTCGAATGAGAGAAACCTTGAGGCTTCAATCTTTATCAAATGCAGTCAAAGTCTCATATGAACATGTATTTGCTATCATGTTTGTGGATGTAATTTCTGCAAATATAATAGACAATATTACAAAAGCGGCAAGCCAAAAAAGGGATGAGAATGAGGAAAACATCTTCAATAAAAAATTAAATACGAGTATTTCTTACCAAGTTTAACATTTGATTCTTCCGACAGAACTATAGATGAAGCGAATGATTTTGACGTAGACGAAGCCATTTTTAGTTTTATCCAAAATGTAAAGAGCAATGGGTTTCAACCTACATTTTTCTGTTGATGGGAAAAGAGCCGCAAACAACTGAGAGGTTATTTATATCAATATATTTTTCTTTTTGGTGTAATAATAAATGTTAATCTCGGTTTTCAGCAAGACAGTGTGGCCAGTAGATTTGGGCTCCAATCACGTGTCAAGCCTTGTACACTTCGATAAAAGTCAGGCACACGTGGCCTTCTTCACCTGTAGGAGAGGCAGTCGTGGACAATTTGACAATTAAGTCAGTCAATTAATAAACGAGAATCACAAAGTGTATGAATTCAAGTTTGAAGAGATAGATTACCAATCAATGTTACTTTGAAATGTAAAATTGCATTACCTTTGAATGGCACCAAGTGTGACATTTTATAATGAAAGGAAAGAGGTGTTTACTTTTGGATATGTGACATTTGACCTCGTCCTAGCGGTTCACAAGTCGGCCTCAGGCATCACATTCGTTCTCCTAAATCAGAGTTGATGTTAAATGAATCTAAAAAGCGATCACCATATATTCTAGGTCCGTCATTACTACTATATAAAAAGGGCAATATGTTGCTACTGTAGAAAGAACAGTAGATTCTTCCATTTTCACACACTGTAGCAACTTTTTTTTCCTTGGAGCAAAAACGACGCCGTCTGCTCTTCCAATAGCAATTTTTTTATTTTTAATTTTTTCCATCTCTGGAGTCAAGACGAGATCGTCTGCAGACAAATATATATATATATATATAAGCTACAATGATGTACCCACTTTAAGTAGATTTTTCTTTCTTCTTCTCCATTTTCACACGCTACTCCTTTTTTTCTTTGAGTTTCATTGGTTCCTTTCTTTTCTCCATGTATGTATACTATTTCTGTTTCTATTATATTTGGTATATCTGTATTTTGTGCTTCAATCATTACGCTTATATTGTATTTGTTCTCTTTGTTTGTTCGATCGTTGACACATGTTCTTTCGGCCTTATTTTAATTTGCGGGTAGTGGTGGAGAATGTTTTCAGCTTTTCTTTAGTTCGTGGTAGCAGTAATATCTAGAGATTTTTCCTGCGATGATTAATGAGGGGGAAATCTACTTTCATATGATTTGATTTTTCATTTTTCTTGTATAGTGTTGAACTTCGATGTTGATGTTGATTTGTTGTACACAAACTTTGGAGTAAACTGGTAAATAAGAGAGTAAATAGAATTGGGCGTGGAAATAACGGAATAGAAATACATGAAAATAAAACATTTTCCATATATACAAATTCAATTAGAAGAAAGTAAAGAGGTCTCATAGACGTGTCAAACTTTCACCAACATGGTCTTTTTTGTAGACAATGAACATTGGGAGTTCACTGTTCAAAAGTTTGAAAACACATGTATCGCCCATTTGTAGTTCTTTTTCTTTAAAAAAATCTGCCCAGCCTATAGTCATACGTCTTATTAGACCATTTGGTCGTAAATTTGTGGCGAGCTCCCAGTCGTGATGTAAAGAATCATAGATTTGAACACTTCGCAGACCTCTTGGTAGGTGATATCTAGAGAACTGTCCTGGTATATCCTGGAAAACCATGAATGAATAAATTATTGATCTTTGAATCAAATTTATGTGGAAGAGATGAATGTAGAATGAGATATTAAAGATGACACTTACAATTTCCCGATGGCTGTTGTGATGAGGTGTTAGTGTTATTTCAAATGCAGGGTTATCTGTATGTGAAGCGTTGTATTTTTCGGGAACATCGGAGTCATATGTGACCTCTAATCTAGAATGGTTAAATATGATCATATTGAATGTGGAGTTTCCGTTATATTCAAATACCAAAACATGAGCATCCTGTAAGTTATGATGGTCAAAAAATTGTTCCCATCCATCGGCAAAATATATTCTTCCATTATCTCTTTTCAAGCGTATTGTGACAATTATACTATCATATGCAGTTACTCGTACTGTGTCACCAAGTTGGTGTCTCCAATCGTTGACAAATGATCTGTGAAGCATCTATACATATACATTAAAAAGTATAAGAGAGAAATTAAAAATGCATCCATTCAAATGTGAGAGGAGAAACTCTTGTGTGATTAACTAGACGGGTATTATGGTTTTGTGGAGGAGTAATGATTCTGAAGAAACAATGCGCACCTCCATTCCGTCTCAATATAGTACAATGAAAATTTTGTTAGAATAACTCTATTATTTACGTTGTGGAGGCCATAATATAGATTTTAAGGTAGATTTTGCAGTATAGGCGAGTTAAAAAGTTTGCTAATGGAAGTTCCATATCTGTAAGATAAAATTTGTATGTGATTTAAAAAAAAAATTCTATATGTCGTTGTAGAACAATATCATGAAGTTTGGTAAGAAATTCATGATTTGTGTTCGATTTTTAATAGAAGAATTGAAGATTGACATTTAGTCCATCTCAATAAACAAGATGTAAGTTAAAACTGCTAAATTTAGTGTTGAAAAAATAGCTATGGTAATTAAGAAATAGTAAATAGACACCTGATTTTCTTTTTGTTGAGCACCTGCAAGCAAAGATATGTAAATATTTTATGTGAGGAGTGATTTAAGGTAAATTTTGAAAACATGAGAAGCTATTTAAATTAGAGGATATGTACTCCTATATTTTTTCCTGATTTGACAAGAGGTTCACGGGTAGTAGAAATGGACAATATGTTACCAAAAAAGCCCGATCTTACTATTCCCAAAAATAAAAGTGAGGAGAAAGAAATTATTGAAGTATCACACGAGTGACTATTTTATCTTAACACGTTTCACACATTATTTGATTGCAATCAAAAGGTTACGATTGGAAATGTAATTAATATGTAATATGTCTATTATTTATCTACATTTCTACTCATTTGAAGGATTTATATAATATTTGTATGTATAAAAAAATGATTTATATTTTATGTATTTATTTTAGGAATCACATCTATTAAAAAAACTAAGTTGATTAAATGAAATCAAATTTTGATGCTGCGAGTCGGAAAGGAAAAAGAAAGGGAAAAAAATGAAATTTGTTAACCTCCATAATAACGGAGGCACCAAACTTCATGGAGGTTCAACTTTGAGCCTCCGCAATTATGGAGGCAGTTTGTGCCTCCGTAGTGCTACGGAGGCTCAACTTTGAGCCTCCATAATTACAGAGGCACTTTGATGCCTCCATAATTACGAAGACCTTGCCCTTTGAGCCTACGTAATTATGGAGGCATTATTCCC